CATAAACGATTTGCTTTGAAGATGCTTACTCTTGTTGGAGCAAGACCTCAATGGTAAGATGAAAATGAAGCCTTCAATAATCAATAAATGTTGACTCATTCATTCTTTCAGGCTGATGGCTGGCTTCATGTTTACAACCACGTTCATGTGAGTTTCTTTCAAAAGCCATCTTCTTAGATAAAAGAAGAAAAGACGAGAAATGAACCTATTTAGATCACTATGGATATCAGATACAGCATGTGCGGCACTGATGTCACCAATCGCTTATTCCCTGTTTGAAGCAATGATGATTCACAAGATGAATCCAGCGCATGAAACTCAGGGAGAAAATGAAGTAGACTTGGAATTGGAGAAGTTTGAAAAGTGGGTGAGTATTGGTGATAACAAAATATGCCACTGTAGGGAAAACATAGGACACATTACAAATGCTTAAGGTGAACATAAACAGTAAAAGATAGTTGCTGTAGCGCAAGATGCTCGTTTGCCACTCCTTAAGTAAAATCTAGTAAGGTGAGCTCGCAGAAGAGATTTAGGCGCTCTTTTTTCGACTACATTACCGTTACTGCCGGAACAACTTGCCATGAAAGACGCAATGTCGCGTCGGAAATGCCGGATGGCTATACTGAATCAAAATTCTCCAATTGAAATTTGATCTAAATCCTTGAAGTGAGCGTCTGTTTTCGAATCTACCCGTGTTTGAAACACCTAGATTTCTCCATTTTTCATAAGCCATGTGACTTCAAGAAGAGCTGGCGCTATCTCCGTTCCTGACAGTTCAGGAGCCCGAGCGAGTCTCCTCTACATATATCCATAGGTGTTCCTGACTCCCAACAACGCCAATTTCAGAAATCTACGTAATTTCGAGTTAGAATTGTTCAGGATGGGAGTCTGGCTGCGTCTTAATTAACTTCCACATATATCTTGCCTTTGGGTTCTTAATGCAGCATTTTGGAATCACATTCATATTCCATAACAGATTTTTGATACGACTTCTAAAGAATTTTAAAGTATTTACACTATTTTCAAACCAGTTTGATGTGAATATCATTCGTAAACTCCATGTTAGAATTCGATTTTTTGAGAAAAAAGAACCAGCGGAGCCCTTTTCTCTATATCAAATTAGACTTGGCATGCTAAAAATTCATTTTTTTATTTTTTATTTCTTGAATAAAGAACCAATTATATATTCTTAGATCTATATTTCCATTTTAAACTCAAGCATGTAGAGTAATAACCATTTTGAAATACAATTTTTAACTTTTTCTATATGCGTAAAATCATTTCGATCTTTGGATCTTCGATCTTCTGTACTAAAACTTTTTCTATTCTTGATTTTTTATTGGAAGAATCAGTTGAGTTCCATTTTGATGTTCCTTCCCAGATTTGGCATATCCCTCCTAGTAGGCATCAGACTTCTGTTGTGAGGTGGCCTTAATACCTCCCATTGTATTTCTACATTATTGCAATCAATTTCCGATCATTTTTAGGATTGAAATTTGGAACTCGTCATGCTAATAATGATCTTTGAAGAATAGAAGGAAAAGATGCTTTTTACCACTGAGGAGAGCCCCTCGGATGCTGATGCACTGTGTACGGCAAGTGCGTGCAGATTTCTTACCTCATAGTAACTGCTCTGCAATAACGTGGATCTACTAGTAAAAACAAAAGCTTTATTTTTTCTTTGGTAT